CACATAAATATATATAATATATTATTATATAAATAATATATGTAATATATTGTTATATAAAAGTTATATAATTTTTTTTTTTATTTTGAGCTAAAACGAGCCGAACACGAGCGAACAAAGAGTTGTTCGTGTTTGGCTCGTATACTTAACAAACGAGCCAAACACGAGCTGTTCGCAAACAAAGAGCTTTTTTGATAGCCCTAATTCTAAGTGAGAATTTAAGTACTCAACATCGATTATTAGTTCTAGATTTTAAGATAAAGAGTTGTAAGATAAATCGTACTAGGAATCATTGTCATAAAATTAGATGACGACACCTAAAAGATGCAAATAAAATTAATTTTATGAATAAATTTCAAGATTTTAAGATTTGAGATGTTCATAAAGACAAATTCTATGTGAGATAAAATAATAAATACTATTAAATAAGTGACAAACGTTATACGTGGAGAATCAAAAAGGAAAAATTGTATAAATAAAATAGGTGGTGATGAAATAATAGTGTGCAAGAAAATATAAAATATAAGTTGTGTTATAAGAATTGGTTTATACTGAGAAAAATATAAGGTGGTCAAGAGGGAGTGTAAGAAAACAGTTTGTGACGCTAATAATCCTAGTTTTAGTGATATTTATAATATATTAAATATTAAAAAGGGTGCAATATCTATATATATAAAGTTACTTTCTTAGAATAAGATGTTCAACATAAGTGGGTGAACTATTTTGATAAATTTTTAAATAAAGTTTCTGAAAATATGATGTTTCATAGTGATCTTAAATATTGTTAATAGTAATAAAATGTTTTATTTTTTCAGTCGCATTAGTAAAAAAGAAGTGAATGAGGTTTTAAAGAAAGCCAAGGGGGGAAATCAGTAGGACCTAATGATATCCCAATTAAAGTGTGAAAATATTTAAGAGAATTAGGGGTTTCTAGTCTTACTAAACTCTTTAATATTATTTCAAAAACTAAAAAGATGTCTGAGGAATGGAGGAAGAGTATTTTGGTCCCCATTTTTAAGAATAAAGGGAACGCACAAGAGTGCGCAAATTATAGAGGAATTAAGTTGATGTGTCATACTTCAAATTTATGGGAAAGGGTAATTGAACATGAGTTGAGACATATTGCGAAGTTCTCATAATGAGTTTGAATTTATGACGGGCATGTCTACTATGGAAGTTATATATTTATTGAGAGGTTTGATGGAGAAGTACAAAGAGAATAATGAAAATCTACACATCATTTTTATTGATTTAGAAAAAGCTTACAATAAGATCACAAGAGAAGTCCTTTGGAGAGTTTTAGAGAAGAAAGATGTTGATATGACTTATAATTAAGTCATTAAAGGTATGTATATTGGAACAATTGTGTTCAAACAAAAGAAAGATTGAACAAGTATTTTCCTATTTCAGTTAGATTACATCAAGGACTGGCTTTAAACTCATATTTTTTTATTAAACATTTAAAGGAGGACGTACTTTGGTGTATGCTTTTCGCTGATCACATCTTTTTTGTAGATAAAATAGAGAAAGAGTTCAGAAAAAACTTGAATTATGAAGATCTAAATTGAATTCCAAAGCCTTCGTTTGAGTAGACCTAAAACTGAACATATGGAATATAATTTTAGTAGTAGTAGCTCTGGTGGCAAAGTTGTAACTATGGATGATCAAATCATCAAAAGATGTGAATGTTTTACATATCACGAGCCTATTGTTTAAAGTGATGGTGATATAGATGAGGATGTTAATAGTATAATTTAACTTGGTTGGTTGAAGTGGAGGAATGCGTCAGGCCTATTGTGTGATAGAAAAATACCGCTTAAACTTAAAAAAAAAATTTATAAGATGGTGGAGAGCTCTGCAATGCTCTATGGTGCAGAATGTTAGCCTTAAAAGATAAGCATAAAACAAAGTTCTCTATGGTGCAAAATGTTGTCCTTTAAAAGAGAAGCATAAAACAAAGTTATGTATTTCTGAGATGAGAATGCTTAGGTGGATGAGTGGCTTGACACTAGAGACAAAATGTGAAATAAATACATCTGTGATAGGGCTGGTGTAGCTCCAGTGACACACAATATTAGAGAGAGACGTCTTAGATGATTTAGTCACATTAATCGTCGACCATCTGATGATCCGATTAGGAGTAGAAGTTTTAGATTTAGCTTATGTTAAAGGCAGAGGTACACCTAAAAAGACAAAGGCATATTATATAAAAAAATGATCTTAATTTATTAGAATTAAATTAAAATATTACACTCAATAGGACACAACGGAGAAAAAGGATTCATATAGCCGGCCCCGCTTAGTGGGATAAAGGCTTGTTGTTGTTGTTGTTTTTGAAATAAACTATTTTTTATATGCAACTTATTCATGTTTTTAGAAGTTTCTAATATTAAAATTGTCATACTTAAAGCATTCCAAGAAATGTGAACACATTGATAAATTTATACATTTCTATAAGAAAAAAAAAAGATTTCAAGGCAATGCAAGGTCTTTAAAAGTCAAACCAATCTTATAAATTCATTCAATAAATAAATATCGATGAGACTCAAAATGAGATGGATGTATCAGAAGAAAATCTTAGCTTTTTTACCATCTATTATAATCTTTATTTTTTTATGGACAATTTCTTGCATGTTTTTTAGACCTTCAATTTCTCGTTGCTAACATATTAAAATGACAAAGCTTTCCATTTGAATTTTAACAGTTTTCAATTACCATCTAGTAAATAATTGTTTTGAAATTAAGCTTTGACTTTCTAGTGTGAGTTGCATACTTATTCGTCAGTTGACTGCATCCAAATCCACATAACATAATAGAAATGCATTAGAAATCTTAGACCAGAATGTCCAAAAAGATTCTTGAATGTATTTTATGAGCAACAATGAGCACCATAAATGTTCAGGATAAATTAAATTTATATTTAATCTTACAAATTTGTTTCATATTCGAAAAAAATTCTTGCTTAATTTAAGCCTTGCTAAAATATTGATCCTTTCTGTGCACAATTTCATTCATTTACATAACTTTCATAAAATTTAATTTCATGTCACTAATTTCTGCAAAAATTCAATTTACATTCACTTGATATAGTTTCCAACCGATTTGAAATTTCATTCAGTAAATCTTTTCTACATGAGATTAATAGTTTGCTTTATCTCGAAAATTGAATGTTCGTTCATCACTTGACTGCAGACAAACATAGGTTGCATGATAGATTTACATTAGAAATCATACATCAAAAGAGCATCTTAAATCAAAAAAACTTCTAGCTTTCCTCTTGAAATTTCATTTAAGTGGCATGGAATAGTGAAATGTGTAATCTATTATGGTAACTACAGACATCTCAAAATGAACACCAATAATCACCACGCATGTAGATTAAAAACTAAATTAAAATATAAGATCAAATAATTTCCATGAAAAGCTTCCTCTAAGGTAAACATATAAAAGCAATAACAAAGAAATCTACTAAAAAGATTAAACTAATATACCTTGTATTAAAAGATGATGTCACCATCACAGATGGATAAACAGTGTCCTTCTTGATATTTTCATAAGGAGAATATTTTCTAATAGCAAGAAAATCTTCAGGGTCCAAAGGGCATCCAAACTCCTCATAATCAATTGGGTTGAGCGGCAAAATAGGATAGAGAAGAGTGTTGACTGCATCCAGGAAAGGAGCCTACATATGGACATGAAGCAAATAAATTGAGCATGTTAAAACAAATAATTAAAGTTTGGGATGCAAGTTACAATCCAAAACATGTGACATAATTGATTAAGATATGATTATTTTTAAAAATACTCAAACCACCTAATATTTGTTTCAATGTTTTTAAAAGCATGCTAATTTGTTTTTAAATATAAAAAAAATAGGTAAAAAACCCACTAATACCAGAGTTAAGCCGAACAACAATAGAAAAATAAATATTATTGCTGAATTCAAATTGGAAATTACAACCGACTCACAAGAAACTGAAATTGCAACAATTGACAACATAAACCCAAGCTAGGGCTAGATCCGGGGGTGGTGGTGGTGATCGGGGAAGGTTTGGGCCTCCTTAGAGGTAGCAAAGGGTGGTTAGAGAGTGTGATAGTGGGGCGGCAACGAAAGTGGAATGTGGTGAGCTGTGGCGACGTTGTAAAACGGCTTGACAACGGTAGCGCATAAATGCAACGAAGTAGCAGGGCTGTGACAACAATACAGGATGACTGGAAAGGCTGGAGGAAGGTGTTGAAATGGCTGCACAATGGTAGAAAGCAAAGCGGGGGGTTTATGGGGATGCGTCAGCAAGGCAGAAGGATGAGAGGAGTGGAGGATGGTGTCGGAATGGCTGGAACAATGATGGAAGCAATAGAGAGGGCTGGAACATCAATGGAAGCAATAGGGAGGGGTCGAATCATAGCGGTAGCAGAGAGGAAATGATAGAGGCAGCGGCGGGGATGCAAAAGAATGATGGACTACAAGACAACTGTCCCAGGTGGAAACAGTGAAGAAAGGCAGCCGAAATTGAAAATCATTAGTGAAAAAAGCAAATAGGCGATGTTCAGGGGCAATTGCAGCAATGGAGCCCGGTTTGGAGCAACATGGGGCAGAAAAGAAAGGTGATATGGAAGAAAATCACCACCTGGAGATCAAGATACAGCCGAAGCATCACCTAGAATCCTAGGATACAACCTCGAAGAGAAGAAGATATGTGACTGTCTCGATACAAAACACACGAAATACTAACCGTAAAACATCATAAAAACAAATATATAGCAATAGGATAACTAAATGTGGCCCAAATGGACCGACCAACATGAAAGACATGTGAATACATGGATCGGTTCGGTCCAAATGTGAGCTTTAAGGTCATGTGAGCATTTTGTGAGCCAACTTGAAAGAAAAAATGGGGGTGTTGCTCTTCTCAGACTTCTCACTCTAAGTATGATTTTCTTGGCCAAACTTCTCAATTATATTAGGTATGTTTCTATCGATGTCTCCAACTGTGGGTGGCTATCTGAATGGTGGTGAGTGTCAACTCTATTTTTGTTGTCTTTCCACCTTCAATGTCAAAGTCAAAACATCACTAAAAGACCAATTACGTTGTAGCTAAACCACATTGCCGATGGCAGACTTCAAGCCTTTCAAGTACCTAGCTATCGTCTGCTACTCTGGCTCTGTCATATCACATTTTAGCTTAAGCTACATAAACTCCGATGTATACTCCACTAATAGGTTCCTCTGATGTAGGGCCTAAAAAAAAAATCACGACGGTAGCGTGGGAGTAGGTAATTCCGCTGCAATTCTCTCTTCATCCTTTCCTAGGCAGTAATCATGCTCCATTGCTCTCTATTTCTCTCCCTTTGTAGGTTCTCCTGCCACAACGAGACGCTCCTCTTCAACTTGATAGCAGCAAACTTTACTCATATTAAAAAATCCTCTCAGCGGTCTGCAACTACTCTATCAAATCATCTAGATTCATTTTTCTTTCAAAATTTGGTATGTCCACTATCATACTTGAGCCTTTGTATCCTCTAACAGACACTTCATCTATGTATCCTCCAACGAACACTTCATCTCTATATCCTCCAACAGGCATTCATCTCTGTATCATCTAATAGACACTTCATTTCTATATCTTCTAACACACTTCATCTCTTGGTTTCCTTTAATAATGTATCCCAAAGCATAATGATTTGTGTTCTTCTCCACTGGAATTGTCCCAGCGGAAAGGAATCAGTTATTCCTCATCTCTCCCCTATTCAGATCTCAATATCTCGCCTGTCGGTGACTTCTCCAATGATCATTTCCTCAATTTCATTGAGTTGTTGTAGCACTCGGTGGAGCTATTGCTGCAACTCTTCCATGGTAAACTCTTAATCAGGATCTGGCAATTGCTTCCATAAAAGGACGATTAGGGTTTGGCGATGTGCAGGCGGAAGGTGTGTAGAGGTGATGTAGGATGAAAAATAAAATTTTTGAGTAGACATAAGGTTGGCTAATTGTGGATGCTAGGAGCCCTAGTATAGGATTAGTAGCATGCTAGCTCTGATATCAAAGATACTGGAGTTAACCCAAACAACAATAAGCAGAATAAGATCATTATTGAGTTCAAATAAGAAATTATAACTGGCTCATGAAAAGCTGAAATTACAACAATTGACAACATAACAAGAGCTAGAACTAGATTGGGGGTGGTGCTGGTGGCTGACGAAAGTGTGGGCCCCCCTAACAAAGGGTGGTTAGAGAGTGAGATAGTGGGTTGCAGTAAAAAAGGAATGTGGTGGGCTCTGGGAGCGAAGTAGGATGGCTGGACAATGGTAGTGCAACAAGGCAACAGAGTAGCAAGGTTGCAACAACGAGGCAGGATGGATGGAAAGGCTAGAGGAATGTGTTGGGATGGCTGAAAAACAGTAGACAACAAGCCGAGGGGTCTATGGGGTTGTTGCAGCGAGGTAGAAGGTTGAGAAGAGGTGGAGGGCGCTGAAACAGCTGGAGCAACGATGGCAACAGGGAGGGTTGAAATCGTAGCAGTAGAAAAGAGAGAAACACTGAGGCAGCGACAGCGAGGACGGGAAGTCGGTATTACAAAACTGCAGTGAAAACAACAAATAGGTGATGTTTGGGGGGCGACTGCAGCAGTTGAGGCTGGAAAGGAGTGACATGGGGCGGCTGCGAAAAAAAAATAGGAAAGATAATCACCAATTGGAGACCAAGATACAGTCAGAGCACCAAAAGAAATTTTAGGATATAGACCTCGAGGAGAAAAAGAGACGATGGTGGTTATCCCAATACAAAACACACGAAAAACTAATCCTAAAACATCAGAAAAACAAATATATAGAAATATGATAACTAGGAGTGGCCCAAAGGGGCTAGCAACTCCACAGAAAAACAAATAACTGGACCGGTTCAGTCCAGGCATGAGTGGGCTCCCACTTTCCCATTGTGGGAAATCCCGTGTGTGCCGAACACGCCCCGCACACACACTAAACAAACATGTTTTTAAAAATAAAATAGAAAAAAAAAACAAAAAAAAAACTTAGAAACAAATGCCAAAAATATAAAACAAAATTAATCCAAAACAAGCCCTTAACATCATAATGCATGACTGAAATTTTTTAGAATCCAAGTTAAATAGCAATAGCATAGTTGAAAAAAAAAGGTTTTTTCATGAATTTAGTAGGAGGAGCTTGTAGTTATAGTAGGAGAAAGGAAACAAAATGAACCACCAAATAAACATGAAACAAGTAAAAATAACTAAATTGGCATCTAGTGAGTGTTAACAACAGGTTTATTTACAGTCATGATTGGACATCCAACACAAACAACATTTTGGACTTTTTCATTAATTTTCCTCGCATGTGGGCGGAGATTAAAAGCATTCATTGGTAACATGAAAATGGATCCTACGATTCATACAAAATGATGGATGTTCTCAAATTCCGTTTTGGAGTCAGATAAACGACTGGAATGGAGTCTGCGACTTTTTGGCATCACAGATAGAGGAGTGTGGCAATCTGGAGTCAGATAAATGGAGTCTGCGACCTTCTGGAGTCACAAACAGGCTGTTGTGGTCACCTGGAGTCACAGTAGGGGCGGATGTGATCTTCTGGAGTTGCTGACAAGGGAGTGGTGGCAACCTGGAGTCAGAGGAACGGAGGTTGCAATTTCTGGAGTCGCAGACAAGCTGCTGCAGTCACCTGGAGTCGGGGGGAAGGACGATTGTGGTCTTCTGGAGTCGAGAGAAAACGAAGAAACGACGAAGATAATCACCACGGATGAGTTATAGTCGGAACATCTTCTCGTCATCGGATACAACCCACAGGGGAATACATCGACGGTTGACTAATACTTCAGAAACAAATCAAACAACTAGTTGACCTAAGCAAACACCACACCAATATATAATAGGGATTAGTAACTAGATTGGGTAATGATTAGAATAAGAAAGAAACGATAACGGAAAAAATAAAAAAGGCATGGAGTAGAATAAGAGAGAAATAGAAAAGAAAAAGGAAGATAGTAGGAAAAGGAAAGGGAGAGTTGGACGGTGTTTCCCGCCCCTTCTTTAGGGTCAACCGATCCAGCAGAGCTAAACCGAAATTTTATGGGGTTGGCTCATCCGGCCCATTTAGCCCTGTGTCAATCTCCCATGGTTGAAGGAACTTCAACTCCATTTGTCGAAGCTTCTGATTCTTCAAAGTACGGTGTCAGGTCCACGATATTGAATGTGGCTGAAACGTTGTAGTCTCCTGAAAGTCCAAACTTGTATGCATTATCATTCAGTTTCCGAAGTATCTTGAAAGAACTATCTGCTCTAAGCTTAAGGTTCCTGAATGATCCCACCATAAATCTATCCTTCCTTGGCCGAATCGACGTGAGGTTTCCTTGGAACGTCACCTTTTTCCTAGACTTTTAGTCGCTTGTGCTTGATATCTGTCGTACTTCTGTGGTACTAAGCAATTTCCTTGTCAACCTCTTTGTAGAGCTTCTGAATCTCGTGGACCTGCTCCATAGCATCTTTACTAACCTCTAACATCAATAATCGTGGTACCAACTCAAGTGGTCTGAGCGGATTGCGTCCATATATAATTTCGAACGATGTGCATCTTGCAATATAACTTACAAATCTATTGTAGGCGAACTTGGCTTGAGCTAGAATGAGATCCCACCATTTGATACTTTCCCACAAA